GAAAAACATACGTACAAGTTCTTCGGGTGATGGCACGAATTCTGTTTTTCTTGCACGTCTCTTCTCGACTTCTTCCAGAAATATTTTAGGATACCCATTACTTCTCAGAGCGACAAAAACACGATCTTTCTCTTGTTGCTTGCCTTCGTTCGTGTTAGGGAGATGGGCTGCTCGGTGAAGGAGTGTTCGTGCTGCGCTGATCTTGTGTTGTTTGTCATGATGTGAGTTGTAGTCTAGGTATCTGTCAGTGTGTGTAGGTTTACGGTAGACGTTAACGTTGAGACACCCGTTGTTACGGGTTACCATTGTGTCTAAGAATGAGAGTTGTCCGTTTTGATCTTGTTCAATAGTGAAGTTTATGTGTGGGTCAATGGCATTCAGTAAATTGTGGAAATTAGTAATAGCGTGTTTTTTGATGATTGTCACCTAGTGTGTCATCTATATTTTGTCACCATTACAAAATCATAACGGTTACTCAGTCACTAACTCTACTGACTTCACTAATAAACTGATTAACACCACCATTGAGGATGACGAAATTATGATTTCATTTGACGTTGTGTCATTGTTTACTGCCATTCCAGTCGATAGAGCATGTGAACACATTCGCAATAAACTTAGCAAAGATGACACACTAGGACAACGTTCTAATTTATCCATTGACGATATCATTAAACTCTTACGCTTTACTTTGTCAAACAGCTATTTCAACTATAATAACGAGACGTACAAACAAATTCACGGTTGTGCTATGGCAGTCCCGTTAGCCCTATTGTGGCAAACCTCTGTATGGAGGAAATCGAGGAACTAGCCTTTAACCGAACCGACACGCCACCTAAAAAATGGTTTCGCTTTGTGGATGATGTTTTTCAATCATCAAAAAACACGCTATTACTAATTTCCACAATTTACTGAATGCCATTGACCCACACATAAACTTCACTATTGAACAAGAACAAAACGGACAACTCTCATTCTTAGACACAATGGTAACCCGTAACAACGGGTGTCTCAACGTTAACGTCTACCGTAAACCTACACACACTGACAGATACCTAGACTACAACTCACATCATGACAAACAACACAAGATCAGCGCAGCACGAACACTCCTTCACCGAGCAGCCCATCTCCCTAACACGAACGAAGGCAAGCAACAAGAGAAAGATCGTGTTTTTGTCGCTCTGAGAAGTAATGGGTATCCTAAAATATTTCTGGACGAAGTCGAGAAGAGACGTGCAAGGAAAACAGAATTCGTGCCATCACCCGAAGAACTTGTACGTATGTTTTTCGAAAATGTCGAACCAGAGAAAAATTCCAGCTACGCAGTCCTCCCTTACATTAACGGCTCAACGGAACCCCTGAAAAGACTACTCAAACGATACGACATCAGAACAACAACGAAACCACTCCGAACATTAGAACAAGGCTTTCCGTCACCAAAGGACAGACCACTTCCCGAAAAACAGACCAACGTCGTGTACAAGATTAATTGCGCAGACTGCTCCTGGAGCTACATAGGTGAGACTGGTAGAGCTCTCGAAACGAGAAAAAAGGAACATAAAAGAAACGTGAAACAATGGAAATCCGGCTCAAACATAGCAAAACATGCTTGGACTCAGGACCATAAAATCAACTTTGATGAGTGCGAAATCTTAGACAAGGCAACCTATCGACACAGAGCAACAATGGAGTCCTGGCATACAGCAACCACAGCCAATTCTGACAACAATGCACAACATTTACCAGAACAATATAGATTTTTATTAAAAAAGAACAGATCATAAACATAGTTTTATATTTATAAGTATACTCGTTTCACTGAGAGTTTACGTAGGCGGAACTAATCATTGTTATATTGCATGTCATTATAATTGTAATTGTAAACCACTGTCCTTGTAGCTATATCCGTATAGAATAGTTTATTATCACTTTACCTGTCGAAGACTGCAGACTGGCAGTCGAAAGCTTGTGTTTCAAATAAAAAACAATTTACGATCAGAGAACGTTTCAGAAACTAGATGACGGTAGATGACAGTAGATGACAGTAGATGACAGTAGATGACGGTAGATGACAGTAGATGACAGTAGATGACAGTAGATGACGATAGATGACAGTAGATGACGGTAGATGAAGGTAGATGACAGTAGATGGCTGTAGATGACGATAGATGACAGTAGATGACTGTAGATGACAGTAGATGACGTAGATGACACTAGATGACGGTAGATGACACTAGATGACGGTATATGACACTAGATGACAGTAGAT